GGGTCGAAATTTTGGAGTTTTCACGGTACTAATTATTCCATTTCAATGAAACTTAGTACAAAGATGCTCTAGGACAATGTACAAACCTAATTAGTTTGGGGTAAAAATCTGTTCATATTAATTCCCTAATAAGCATAATAATTCATAATTTTTTGGTTCTAATCACATTTCAATTAAACTTGGAGACATAGATTTTCTGTTACATTGCGCAGACCTCATTAGTTTTACACTCAAATCTGGTCATATTAATTTTCTGATTTGCATAATTAGTTTTCAGCTAAGTAATTTCGAATTATATTTAATGTGTCTCCAATACTCTCGGCACATGGGAGTTCTTTCTAAGCTTTCTTTGATTTTATTTGAGTTCTTTGGTTATCTTATGGTAATTCAACAAAATATGAAGACGTCTTGGCTGAGGCAGCTTCTTGTCCCTTTTACTCATTCATTGGCAGTCTTCTATAGAGGGGCACCTTCCAGCTAAGCCTTATCTCACCACAAATTTACTTTTCTGGATTAAAATAACAAAAGATAGATTAACATTGTAAACAACATAAACAATAGTGTCCCATGATTCTTTGGTGCAATCCATGAGATTGAGCCGTTTCCCGTACTTTCAGTACCTTTCCTTTTTTGTGAAACACAAGTTCATTGAGCCTGACGTGGTTGTGTGTGTTGTGCCCTCCACGGTCCTGACAGGACGATGTAGATTTTTACTTCCCCTGACGATTTTTTGTCGGTACGACAGTTTATTTCCGCGCATATTGTCGACAATACAAACATGGCTTTAATCAACTGTGCTATCATGACCATCAAAATTAATATTCATTGAAATTCATTGCAAGAAGGCGTGAACTTTGCAAATTCGCAGTATTGATCTTGCCGACGAGACATACACTATTCTATCAGGCGTTAGTGAGGTCTGTTTGCGTTCAGCGGGCGAGGGCCTACTCGCGCATACATGTCGGGTTAAAGTTCAATATAGTAAGTCAGTTTTGAGGTACCCGGTTAGACTCTTAACAAGTTTTTTCTTGAATGTGCATGTGGCTTAACTGGATAGTTGTTAAAGCATTGAATGTCGCGCTCTTAACATGCCAGTCAAAATCTATCAAGTGTGAAGCTGGTGGTGTGGTTTAAATCTACATTGTAGTTTATGGTTCAGTGATTCCCTTGCACAGTCATAAAAAAATTACAAATGCCAGAGTAATTTATTACTCTCCTAGTTTTATCGATTTTATTATAGAGTCAAATCAATTTGAGGAGACGAGTCCATTGGCTCTTGTATCCATTGATCAACTGGAGACGTACAATAAAGACAGATTTTAACGAATTTGAAATAGGATAGCTACTATGATTGTGTGTTGTTTAGAAACAGCTTCTTGCTGGTTATTTTCAAAAGACTGGACAATATTAAAAGAAGCATGGATAAGAGATTCCTTACTGTAAAGGGGGTAATTATTCACTGGGTTTTAATTTAGCTTATTTCGCTGACTGGAAAAATGCGCTAAATTAAAACACAGTGAATATGTAAAATTTAGCATAGAACACATTATCTAAATGACGAAACCGTGAATTTAAAACCCACTGAATATGCCTGAAATGGTAAATCAGTGAAATTTAAACCCAGTGAATATTAGTCATTTTACAGTATCTCAATTTGGACAACAGACTTGATGACATAAATATACTGTAAATGCATTAATTTTTCACTTTTTTTAATTTCGCTATTTTCGTTAAGTAAAATTTTAATCCATGTGAACATGTGGAATAACAATTATACTAATTGTTTCCGTGCCAAGTTCATTAACTTAAAAACACAGTGAAATTGCTCAAAACATGAAAATAGTGAAATTAAATGGTTTTACAGTAATGTGCAAAATCAGATTTTTCATTCAGCAGTTACAAACAATAAAACTAATTTTAAACTTGTGGTGGGTCTTCAATCTTTGGGATCGACAAAATGCAGGAGAAAATATTGATCTGATAGTGGTAGCCTAACAGACTACTTTTAGATTTATGTGTTTCTAATCTACTATTCCCCTTAAAATCCTAGAAAATTATCTCTTTAAGTTCACTTGCAGTCGAATTGTGACAATTTGTAGGGGGCGCTCTGTTTTGGGAAATTGGGAAGCAGCTCAAGATATGTTAGAGGGGTCTGCCATTAATTTAAATATCAATGGTCTTTATGTCGAGTGTTCTAATTGGGTGGAAATAACCAGATTTAAATAACTTTTCATATGCAAATGATGCAAGTTAACATAAACACTCGCATACAATTCTTGCTTCAGTACACGAACTCTTGTAGTTTACCAGAAAGCATCTTTCTTTGTATCAGTTGATACAATCTTAAAGATGTCTCGTTATGATTTGGATGACCATCGTGGCATGGTACGCCCACGTGGTTATTATTACACCAGGCCTAATCCACCCATGGGATTAAGCAACCCAGGGTTGAAAGACGTGCCAGATATTCAAGTTGCACCTGTTGAAGTAAGTTCACTTTCTTGGACTAAAACTAAAATGTGGCTTGTTGATAGTGTAGGATGTATGCAGCCGTTTCTTAAAAATTCCTGTACTCCCTATCGTTGTTCTCTTTCCCTATGTTAAAAGTGCAGGATGTTTTGGCCAAGTTGCAGTCTTCAGTTTGGTTTCAGCAAGCGCAAGATGGGGTGACTTTTCCTTGCTTGGGTAACTTAGTAGTTCACAAGATGATTTATTTTCTGCACACCACTGGCAGTTTTGTGTGAAAGTGACCTTGTTTACTCAATTGTCCTCATTCCAGCATACAAAGGGTTACTATATTTTGCATAACAATGAAAGCTGGAATTGAGGTAGCTGTTATTGGTGCCACTAGTAAGAGTCTCCTGTTACTACGCCGGTTGAAAATCAAATTTTTATTTTGGGTTATTGCTTAGTTCAAAAATTAATTTAAAAAGTCAGATAAGTTATACAGCCGTGACTGACAATGGGCAAGCACACACAAGCATTTCGTTTGACAAGTAATGAAACATCAAAAATATTTTTAGTTCGCAGATAAACATGCATAGTTCTTTACAGTTGAATCTCTGAATAGTGCATGTATGTTTTCATTTTCCCCATCACAACTTGCTTGACTGCAAAATGTATTCACACTTGCATATTTTTCTAGTTACAATTTGTATTGTGCTGGACAATTATATATTTTAAGCTGTTATTACATAAGTTAAAATGTGGAAAATGATGTAAAATGCTGTAGAAAAATAACTTACTGGCCAAAGAGCAAGTGTTGTGATATTAGATATTAATTGAGTATTACTAAATAATAATTCCCTTAAAAAAACAGTGGCCTGTATAACTGTTTTGAAAGTTTGTATTTTAAGTTGTCTAACTCGTAGAAATATTTTTATATTCACTATGTATATTAATATGGATTTAATTTAGAAAGAAAAAAAAATATGGTCAGGTAGGATCTACAAGATAAAAAGAAACGATCTAATGGATTGAAAAACGCATTCATCCTTCCAGTGTTTAGGTCACTCTTTTGTGTTGCAAACGACAGTTTTGACCTACATGTAGTTTTTATCATGTGCTGCGTTAGAACAATTTATCGGTATATAGAGATTGTAGTACATGTTTGGTTTGTTCATACCTTGAACTACATGCAATTTTACCTTGAAAATTATCTTATCATTGTTTAATTATTTTGTTCGATAAAATTTGCTGTATATTCTTGCAAGGCAAGCTCTTCCTACCATACTAGAATACTCTCTTTAGTAAATAATTATTCTAATTGACGGTTACATCAGACAATCTACATGTGTTGTACAGTCCCTTGTCTTAATTGTGCTGTGATTGCAACTTCAGTGTAGATAACACTTAGAAAAGCAGGGATATTTTGAGTGCTCGAAAATTAAAACAGTTTCCAGACTGGCTAGTTTTGTTTTTGAATTAAAGAGTAAACTGTATTGTCACAATCCCAAAAATGAAACTTATTCCAAGTAAAATTGTTATTCAAACAATTTAATGGCAACTCGTCTGTGTTCTATCATGGGTGTTTCTCTGCAAAAAAATAAATTACTGTGTTGTGAGAAAGTTTTAGCGCGAGACATCACCTGATGTTGTGATGCATTTGCTGTCATTCTTTAAATGGTACTTTGTATCATAATTAGCATAAATCAGTGATCATGCAACAAACTTCTTTCAATAGACTATTCTCTATTCACTGCTAGATTCTGGGTCATGTGTGAAATGGAACGTATAAACGGGACAAACAAAGGCCATAGCATTGAAGTGACATGAACATTAGATTTGAGTTGTTGGGTATTTTCATTTGATGGTCAATTTTGCTGAGGTACTTTCATCACAATGCCATATTCCCCTCTAACATTAAAGTATAAAATGGAGTAATTGAATTGAAGTGTTCGCTCAGAGTCCTTTGAGCATATTATGCAGCATTATCTCGCAGTGAATGAAAAGTTGTTTGTTTTATTTTGGACATGATCATTTTGGAATTTTGAGATTCTCTTAGGTGTGAATTCTTGGCGTTTGAAAAGATATGCACAACTGGTAATTGCTCTGGGCAGAAAAGACAAAAATTCACACAGAAATCTCCTTTTTCAAACCTTCACCCTTGTTCCACCTGTGAATGAGAAAAATGAGACAAATTTTTTATTGAACTTCACAATAAAACTGTTTGAAAAATGTTATTTTTCAGACATGTGTATTCATACTCGCCATTTCTTGTGAAAATTGTTAAAGGAATTAATTTTCACTGAAGGGTATTTTCAATGAAAATAAATCCAGCGAATATACTTATTTTCCTATATTTTACATTTAACTCATCAAAAATCAGCGAAAATTATTTCCAGCGAAAATAAAGTATTTTACTGTAGTCTGTCACCTTTTAGAGAAAACATGACTAGTCAGTTAATTTTACAAATACATAATTACTTGTTACAAAAGTAAACAGAAACCATGTGAATAACTGCAATGTATGTACATGTAACAGCCCTCCTGGCATATAGTATCCTATTTCTTCTGGACAACACATGCTGAGCAGCATTTGTTTAATAATGCATAAGTATTCACATTAAGTTGTTTTTCTTAAATGAAATCTGAACTAGGTTAACTTTAATTGAAAGTGCGAGTCTTTTTAAAATACTAAACATTGCATTTTGAAAATTACTTTAAAAATCTCTTCTGAACTCAGTGATCTTTGGAGCTGTGCTATTACCGGTAATATCTCTCAATATGAATTACGAGTGATAGATCAGAAAAGATCATTCTTTCGAAAGCAAGGTCTGCATTCATTTTTTAACTGACAAAAGATCTAACAATTAAACTAGTCTTTTTATTTACTCCTATGGTCATCCCGCATGGTTTGAACAATTCAGTGATGGAATCCAAACATGCTAGGGAGTAGTGTATTTTCTGAACTAAGTTAAGGGGTATATATAGCGTGATGGAAAGTGAATCATGGCAGTATCGGTAATTCAGTGTTCCTAGTGAAAACTGGCCAAATGCTTTAATGCTGGTATTTTGAATATTTAGAGGATATTTATTTGGATAACTTGAGCTGAAAAATGGAAAGAAATGGAGTGTACCACATAGTTCCCATGGTAAGAGTCTGTTTCCTGTTGTAGTAGGCATGAGACTGGTACATGTGCTGTGCACGTGTTACATATGCTGATGAGTTAATACAGCAAACATCTTGAGGGATATACAGGGAGGAGGGGAAATATTTTTTTAAATATTAATCTTTGAATTTAAAAAAAAATGCTTTTTCTAAATGGCAATTCCCCTTTGTTAATTTTCTAATCTACACTGTACAGTTGAAGTACTTGTTTGTATTGTATGTCAACGTGTATACAATTTGGTTTTGCCCACGTGGAGTCGTGTTTAAAATGGTGTGTATTTTTCATTCAGCGTGTTGTACCTTGAAGAGAAACTACGGCTGGAATTCAGCACCCTGGGGGTTATGCTGGGGGTAAAAATGTTGTAGTCACATTGGCTAATACTAAATTTTTCCCCCTCAATTTCAAAGTGGTTTCGCCACTTCACAAATGGAAAGAAATAAAAAAAGGTGAATTTGTAAAAAAAAAAATTAGAAAAGTGTTACTGAAAGATGCACATATATGACTTATTTTCACAGAAAAAGCACCAGTCAGAAAAAAAATTTTTAACATTCCCTGACTAGAAGTCGTTGTTCTTTTTAATAAATGCAATGTTTACATTATTGCTCCATTACAAGCAAATACTTTAAAACTATGCCATGTTAAACAGACATTTTTACTGGCATTAGCAATCTGATATTTTATATCTGTGGTAACAATTAGCCATTGCTGCCATTTGCAATTATCTATTTCAGTGGTAATAAAAATAATCAAGTTTATTTTTAGTCAATTAATTTCTATTAATTTGTTCTTAATTGATGAAGCCAACTGAAATTGATCACTTGTATACATTTGGATCATCCAAAGTTCACAGCAAAATTTATTTTCCTCAGCTTAATCTTAACAAATTACCTGTTTTTCCCCATTTTATTTTGGCTAATCATGGAGCCTTTCTGCAGGGATAAAGTACACAGCTACTTAAATCCAAAAATGGTTTTATTTTTATATATTTGACATTTCATGTTTGACATTTCACAAGAGGATATAGAGAAGCATCATAATCAGTTCGGGGGGACAAAAATGGGTATAGAAAATAGAAAAAAAAACCCAACAGGTCTTACAGCTTATTATGAGACAGTATTTCTATTGTACTGTGTTATGTATATACAACATGCTTATTTTCTAATACCTTGACACCACTGTATAAATCTATAGGAAGATTGTAAACTGGGCCCAGTTCAGTCGCTGCCCATGTCAATGTAGGCCAGGTGTCAGCTGGTCAGGGGACTGAGGTTTTGCCAGCTATACATGTATGATGCGTCATAACAGATACATGTACATATAAATTCTTCTTTCCACCACCAGACTTTCTCCCACAATTTTTTCTGCCTTTTTTCTTGTATTCTTCAATATTTCTGGAAATGATTCAAGTCAATTTTTGGCTATTTTTGTCTTAATCTTCTGAAGGAAAGTGTAGACTATGAACAGAGCTCTTTTTGTTTTTTTGTTTACCTGTTTATTTTTAATCTTCTTAACTTTTCAATCCTTAACTATTAATAGTACTGCTTCATAACAGATTTTAATATCAACACATCGGATGTACAATTTTCACCCCCACCCAAGATTAATCATTTTTCCTGGCAAAATTTGAGTTCCACATTTGTATGTGTGTACTTATTACTAGCTTTGATATCATCAAAGACTGCACAACGATGCTGTCAATAGGAGATTGTCCGTTTGTCCATGAGTTTGTCTGTCAGATTTGTGCATTTCATGATAATCGCTTCAATTTGAATTTTAATATTGTTTTTGGTAAAAAATTATATTACTGTCATGAAACGACATGTACTGCCTTGATTGTGTTTTGATACTTAGTAAAAAGATAACATTTACAATTGCCATGGAAACAACCATATAAACTACTTTTGTTTTGATAAATGCAATACCATTGTGTGAACTATGGCAAATATCAAATTTGTCACTGTACAGAAGGCTCTAAACTTAATTATTTCATATTATACATTGTAATATTAACCCAAATGGGTTAAATGGGTGGTTGGTGAAAAGCCCAGTTGTAATGTAACTAGCACAAAAGTGACTAACATTGACAGTTCAGCTACAGGTATGTATTATTTTTGCATTTCTAAGTTTGTTTTTATTTACAGAACAATGAATATCATGATATTGAATTAGACAACTTGAAAAAAAATCGCAGGACATCGACTGGAATCCAAGCTGACATCCCTGTAATTGAACCCCTTGTACATGGTGTTGCTCCATATGCCAATGAGACCGTTGCAATTGACATTAGCAAAGGAACAGAAGAAGACAACGACGATTGTTGTACAAAGGTAGGATGTTATCAATAACGCATAACATAATTGATCATTTTAATTGCCAGAATGTCATTCTGATTGGAAGAGCACGTTTTATGCAAGCCATGGTTTTAGTTAGTTTTAGTACTCAACACAATCTGTTTTCAAGAGAAAGTAGCAAAAATATTTTGTGCTACAGACATAATGAAGAACTTGCTGACCCTTGGGTATTTGGGGTTCAAAAGGGATGCATGAGAAAATTTGATAATTGTGGACGGCCAAAACTCTTGACAGTCACCAACTTGTTTTAAAAATCACATTATATCTGCTGATTCGTCCTGTTGGAAGTGGGTCACTTCTGACATGTACAGTGAAGTAAAAAAGTATGAACTAGAGGATATCGGTAAACGGTTTCATCTTTATTAGAATCCCATTCACAGAAATGCAGACTGCACAGCTTAAAAAAACACACTGAGCATGCAACATAAAGTACTGCACATGCACAGTTCACAACACAACCACACTGCATGCTGGGAGTTTATCATACAGCAAGTTAACAGCAGGCCTTGTCATTTGAAAATGTCTAGCACAGAGTTCAATTTTGTGTAAAATTCTTTGATTTTCAAATTTCAAACACGCTTCAAGTAAACAACCATCAACCTAAAACTAAGATGTTTTGTTTTTTTCATTGCAGTGCATGAACAATGTAGGTGATCAACTCGGACTATTCTATGAAGAATATCAACGTTACATCTGGTACGGCATCTATGTGGCACTCATAGTGGGCTACTTTGCATACCTTATTTATGCGTGCTATTATGACTTCCAGCAAGCGTTGCCTCTTGTCGTCATCACCGCCTTGGTACTGTTATTCATACTGTATGTTCTACTACGTGATAACTTCGGTGAAGCGTGCAACACGGCCTGCATCAAACCGTTCCTCGCATTTCTGGACTCTAAGTGGTATTTTCTCCGGTGGTAAGTAATTATCTTCTATTTGCATTATTACTTTGTCATTTTGTGAGGTATCATTCTCTTACTAATGTATACACAATCAAATTTTGAGAATGTGCATTGATAATGAAAAATTACTAGTAACTGAAGAATATGGATTTAAGCACTGGACACTCGCGAAGTTAAAAAGGCTTGAAGGTTGGTTACATTGTAGGTATGTTTCACTAAATAGCCCTGTTTCGCCAAATTTAGCCAAATGTTTTGAGTAAAACCTGAGATTTTGTCTGTTGGCTCCAAAATTGGGGTACATTGCCAGAAATATTAAATAATATAAAAAATAAAAAAAAAACAGAAACATTTGGGTACAAGTCTGGTGCTGAAAAAGGTAAAGCCCTCGAACCTTAAAATAAATGGTTGAAAAAGTTATGGCATGGTATCCAATTTTAATGTATTTCATCATTTTCGCTGTTCATGTAGATATTTTCAGAGTTTTAAACTACAGACCAACATTAGTAAGCGAATAAATTTGTGATCAAATCTGTGATTGGCTGGTTTCTTTGACAATGTTCCGTACCGGTGGGAAACCATGTAATGTCATCAGGCATCCAGCCTTCGCTGAAATGCAAACAAATTAGGCCTGAGGACTGTTCAGTCTCGTAGACTGCATGTATAAGAAATGATGTTGCAGCATAAAAAGTCCTTTATTATTTGAGTGTCGTAAAGTTTTGGAACCATCTACAAATTGGTTTTTAACGGTGCTCCTCCTCACATAAAATATTGACTAAAAATGACTAATCCTTGGATCAAAAGCTAAAAGCAATATCCTAAACTGTAAGCATGTTTTAAAATAATGATAAATTTAGTAAAAAAATATATAGAATATGTTGTTGGTTTCCCTTGTGGGGTTAATCTAAACCTCAGTTTGTTCATTTCCATGTTTTTTGCGAATTTTTAACTGAAAGAGTGTTTTTCTCTTTTTTACAGGTTTGTGTATATTGGACTGTTGGCAGTTCTAGTCGTCTTTTTAGTTGTCTATGGTAAAGACAATCCAGAACAATTAATTTCTGCTCTCGGACTGCTGGTCTTGGTAGCATTCTGTTTTGTTTTCTCAAAAGCCCCGATGAAAGTGAGAATTGTTTTAATTTTTAAGTCATTCACAAGCATGCTATTACATAACAGTCACTGATTTCATAGCTTTTTATTTTAACATTTCAAACACCATAAATTTGGTCACCATTCAAAAACTAAATTCATATAATTTTTTCCCCATATATTTTTGATCTAGACCTGCAGGCAATTGGAAGTCTATTTGATCCAAAATAAATGAGATGTTTAAGTCGTATCGGAAAAGATATCCGGGGATCAGTTTTATATGAACCATTTCAGGCACCCAGTGGTTATAAAAATATCAAAATGGGAGCTGCTTCAATTTAATAATTTAAAAAGTGTTCACTTGATTATTTCAGTGCTTTTGTCACATTTCTGGTAAAAACGAGTCAGACCAAAACATACTTGGTACATTGGTGTCTCAGTATGTTCAGACACTAACAACTAAACACAAATACATGCTATATACATTTACAGGTGAAGTGGCGTCCAGTATTATGGGGTCTAGCTCTTCAATTTATCCTTGGAATTTTTATTCTGAGAACCAAAGCTGGCTATGAATCATTCAAATGGATTGGGGATAAAGTCCAAATATTCCTGGAATTCACTAATGTTGGATCAAAGTTTCTCTTTGGAGATTTATACGAGAACCATTTCTTTGCTTTCAAGGTAATGTATTTTGTAATGTTTTTAGGCTAGCTTCTCATTCTGTTTTGGATGACATGCTGCTTCCTATTTCATGAGATTCTTTGAATTGGGCTTGGATAATTAGAATGTGCCCATATATTATTGTTGAAACTGTTGATTTTTGCGCAGATTATTATCCAGAGGGTGGTGGTCGTCGCGCCGTTTCCTGTTCGATTTGGGACTCAGTGATGTATACAACGCGTGTAAAATACATTGTTTTGCTTACATGAAATTTGAACATGTGCTGCGCATTGACCACCACCCTTTAAATACAGGGGAGTAATCGGTATGTTCACACACAGTAGATGAAGAGGGGTGGGGTTTCTACATTTTTAAAAGGTGGAGGGTGATCACTGCTCTGATTCTGTTTGGCTCGTAAAATATACACAACACATGTAAAATGCATTGTTTACATGAAATTGGAACAAGTGCTGCACGATGACAAACTTCCTTTGAATTGCGTATTATAAAACCACACAATTTTTCTTCAATTTAACTGACAAATATTATTACTTTTGATTTAGGTTCTTCCTGTCGTAATTTTCTTCAGTTGCTGTATTTCTATTTGTTATTATTTTGGCATCATGCAATTCGTGATCAGTAAAATATCTTGGATTATGCAAGTCACAATGCACACATCAGCGACAGAATCACTCAATGCTGCTGGAAATATATTTATTGGACAGGTATGTATGTACAATCGAGACCACACTCAATACTTAACAAAATTGCCTTTCATAGACTCGTGGTTTTTATCTTGACTGTCTTAACTGAACTGATGTTGTATGAATCCTGAGGCAGACTGAATCCCCTCGCGTCAGCTCGGGTGGGGGTCAGTCTTTGAAGAAAAAAAATTGCGTCTGACTCTATGATGACTTGCTCCATGATGCATTAACAAAACTTTGTTGCCCCTAGTTTTTTTTATAAAATGTGAATTTCATTTCACCAAATTACAAAATCTATAACTGTATTTAAAGGTTGGATGACGCAAAATGGACACATTCAATGTTCATGACTGTCGTCTAACATAAAAAATGAATTCAATAAAAAAATAAATAAGACCTGTCATTATTAGACAAATTTTAGCTGGGAAGGTAACTGTGCAAATGGCATATGGACAAGTATATAAAGATAAAAATTTTGTATTAACTTTCCAAATGAATGGACCAAGTTAAATATAATGAATTCAACTTTTCAATTTCAGACTGAGGCACCATTGTTGATTAAGCCATTCCTGAAGGATATGACGAAGTCTGAACTGCATGCTGTAATGACGGGTGGATTTGCTACAATAGCTGGCGGTGTTTTAGGGGCATATATCGCATTCGGTATCAGCTCGTCTCATCTATTGTCTGCATCAGTCATGTCTGCACCAGCCGCACTCGCTATTTCTAAACTTTTTTATCCAGAGATTGAGCATTCTGAATACATGACTCAGGAACAAGTTCTCAGAAAAATGGACTTGACGTAAGTTACCATGTGTTCAATATGAATTTGTCAAGATAGTTTACCTATTTTAATTTTTTCAATTGTTAGAGCTCCAGTCATTTATTTTCATATTTTTTGCAGTGCACAATCACAGTCGACTGGTGTACAAATGATAATAAAATTAACCATTATATAGGGACTGTGTATTTACTATATGTTGTAGTCATCTTTAATACAGCTTGAAAATGGACTAGTTGAGAAATGCGTTTTTCAGATTACTAGAATACCCAATTTTTACAGCTAAACGATCAGTTTGGCCATTGATTTGATCGCATTTATTTTATTATTACATGCCAGCTGACTGTGTACAATATTAGAATACTTAACACTGAAATTCCATGTGCCTCTAACAACCAAGATATTATATTATCAAGTAATTTGTTTTTTTGTACTTTTTTTTCAGAAAAGAGAGAAATGCTATAGAAGCTGCCTCGAATGGTGCCTCAACTGCTGTGTCATTGGTGGCTAATATTGGTGCCAATCTTATCGCATTTATTGCATTATTAGCATTTACCAATGCACTACTGGGATGGTTTGGTGGAATGGTTGGCATCCCTGAACTCACGTTTGAGGTAGTCTATAAACGTTTTTATGTTGCCTGTAAATTAAAAAGCTCTTTATGTGTTGCTTTATGTATGGGCAGACACTTTAAAGGCCATATTTTATACAAATATGTATCAGAAGTGTGTTTTTCAAAGGGAAATCTTGTTGGTTATCTTTACAGTTGACTTTGACATTCCTGTATGTGATTTTCCTAGAAAACAATAGTACTTTGTGACTTTTCTCTAACAAATGTTTGGGAAAAGTAAGCCATCCTTGAAATTACTGAATTTGGATCACTTGTTTGTTTCTTTACACTCTTGCTTTAACTAAATAATTGGTAGCTTGTTACGAAATGACAAATTCAAAAATTTTGATTCCACATTAAACTTCACTTTTAGATCAAGACACCACGCTAACACATGAATACAAAATACTATCATGCATGTACATGTACCCTTAAAAACACTGTATTTTTATTTTTAGATAAAAAATACTCAGATTAAAAGACTGTAAACTAACGAGATGTTGGGATGGAAAATTGCCATCCCAGTTAGGTCAAAATGTTGTATTTTATTGATTCTGTGTCCGGTAAATATTATACTTGCATAGGACCAGAGCATAAATTTTCAGGGAAGCATTAAAAGCGAGTGCTTTGAGATATTCTGTTATATATGCTTTCTAAGGCAGTTATTAAATTTGTTCTCGTCTGTCTTGATGCACTTTGATTAACACAGATAAGATTTGTTATATGTGCACCACTATTTGTAAGTAATTGGTCTAATTATCTTATCTTTACAGTTGATATGTTCTTACGTATTCATGCCCCTTGCCTGGCTCATGGGTACGCCCTGGGAAGACTGTCATATTGTAGCCGAGCTCATTGGTATCAAGACGTTCATTAATGAATTTGTAGCATATTTGCGACTCGCAGAAATTTTAGAGAACAGAGAAACTGGCGATGGACCAACAATATCTGTAAGTATTTTAATGCTGCAAAGTGACAAGGCTCAAAATTAATGTTTGAAAGCCGCTCCTCGACTCCAGTTTAAAAAAAATTATAAACGCATTTATTGGAGATGAATGCTCAAGTCTGAATGCTTAAAGTGCTTAAACTACTGTATGTGACATAAATAACTGCAGTTTTAGATCCTGAGACAATTCTAATGCACATCTAGGGTGTGCAGCGCCCTCTGTGGTCCTAGTGAGGATTGGTTATGGAGGTGCCTCAAGAGGGCAGGCTCCATAAGTGCTCTTCTGATAATTTCCATATTGCATACAAGATTTCCGATTGCAATTTTACAAACATAAGTTTGATAAAGCTTATTCATTTTCCCTTTAACAGAGACGCGCCGAGGTAATTTCCACATATGCTTTATGTGGCTTTGCTAACGTTGGATCCATTGGAATTCAGCTCGGTGGTATTACACCCATGTGTCCATCCAGGAAGGGAGATCTGGCAGAGATTGCTATCCGTGCTCTCGTTGCTGGCACAGTAGCTTGCTTCATGACTGCTTGTGTTGCAGGTAGGTTTAATATTCACAGTAGCCCCTTTTGTGTTAAAAGGAATGTTACTCATCTTTCTTACATTATAGGATGGAATTGGTACATTTGCATGTATCGTTGGACAATGTTCGAAGCTCATGTAGGTTCGTCTGATTTCACGATCTGACAGGACAGGACTGCTCTTTTTCAATCAGTTGATGAAAGTCAAATGCTATTGTTCAATTTGACAAATATTTGTATAACTGAATTGTGTGGGTCATCAAAAATATTGAATAACAAGTCTGTCAATTTCCAAAAATAATATTGGCTTTCATTTATTTTAGACCAATAACTGTAATCCTGTTATTTCTTCCTCCTGTAGGTGTGCTTTATAAAGATTTTGATGAAACGTACGATGCTATGCTTGTTAACTCCACACTCTCATCAATAATCAATAACACTACAACAATAGGACTATAGGACCAAAGACTGATTAATGGAAAGTGGGTTCATTCACAACTCGCCGACCCAAACTACTGCACTAGTCGTTGTATCAGGATTGTATTTAAATCTGCCAAATTCAACTTTGGTGCACTATTATTTGAACAACTTTTCAAAGAATTTTATTTTAACAGAAAGACAAAGTTGGTCTGTCTTATTTATTTATCCAGGAAGTACATGCCTCCATTGAACTAGTATTGAACTGGCAGTTAAAATAAAAAGTACTTGTGAAGAAATCTTTCGGTACAGTTGTCATGGTATACACACTCTAAAACTAACTGAAATATTGAGTTGAAACTGGTTGACCATTTGACCTTAGCTCCTTGATGTTTTTGGTCTAGAATGTGAAGGCTATTTACGGCTCAAATCTTGGGTGTTTGATTTCAAACATTAAATCCACTTCACACAGTGGTGAAAGACTAAGTTCTCAACTATGATGAATCAACTCATTTAACTACAGCATTAAGTTTCTCTTGGTGTTCTCTGATAAATCTAGTACTATTACTTACTCAACAAGCTCTTGATATTCTGAGGTGAAATCAATTCAGGAAATGTTCTTTATCGGATCACTAAAATTCAAAGCAAAAATTTTTTTTTTTTTGAATCTTAATGCCCAATTGGTTTTGTTTTCTATTTAGTGTAAATTTTTAGTCATCAAAAATATTTATTTGAAGCAATAATGCTGATATGAGTGTAACTGTCTAATATTTCAAATATCACTTCAAGCAAATGTTGATGCAATAATCCTGTTTTTAAAAAAAAAATGATTGAAGCATTTTATTCTGCAGATTTTGATGTCTGAGCGAAGAATAATAATGGGTATATTAAAATAATCATTTTTTTTTATTTGAGTTGGGACATTATGTAATTCACCTTTCAAAAATTGTAGCAGTGATTAACAAATCCTAATAAGATATTACTGGGAATTTTTTCTATTGGGAAAACAATTTTATGTTTAGAATATTGGTGCTTACACGTGGTCATAAATGTAAATCTCAAAAATGTCAGTCTCCAAATTTACCCTGTAAGAGTTGCATACAATGTAAATGTGGTTCATTCATTGACAAGTAAATGTCTCATTTCCTGGTAACGACTTTGAGAAATAATCTGTAAGTGCTTTTGTTCTGAACCCAAATACTGTGGTTTATATTAGTCAAGTGATTTTGCTATGGACTTGTGTATGCTAATATTGTATCCAGAAACTAACAATGCAAGGGATGCTGCAAATTTGTGGTATCGCCCATTATTATGTGGCTGAACGTGTGAAGTACACTCACTTTTATTTATATATTGTCATCATTTTTGCTCCCCTCTTCAATTCTGTCTTGAGGCTAACGATTTATTTAACAAGAAACGTGTTACTCTATTCTGTTGAGATACACTAGGGAACCTTACTTTAGTTGCTAGTCTAAGTCATTTTCTATTTTTCAGGGAGTACTAAGTTTTATCGTTGGTGATCTTTACTTACTGGTATTATCAGCCTTACTCTAGTTCAGTGAATCTAGTTTAATAATGTGAACATTAAGTTTATAAATAGTGTATAAATATTATCAGTTTTATTGTAAAAAAAAAAAGTGTTTGCACCAAATACTGCATAGTTAGTGAGCATTTTTTGTTCTGTTAAAGTGCTAATTTATATTTTCTAAATGTATCATCACCAACAAGCCCTTGTGCTGAATCGAAAACTGGTTGTGACAGTATGGACTAAATTGTATTCTCTTCAACTTAATTACCATGCAACTGTAGCAATGCATATGCTAAGCAGGGTTATTCCAACCTATTGAAATCAATATTGTACTAATAACTGACAAAATGATAATTATATAAATCTTTCAAGTGATTGTAAAATGTATATTTTGCTATTTAAGAGACCAAACACCCCTGTACCCGAAGTTCAAAATGTGTTGTAAATTTCATCAGGTTGTATCTTCCTTGAGTTTAAGTGTACAACTGAAATACATAACCTGTGTGTATGTAACTGCCATAAAATTTTGCTTGTAATAGGTGACTCGGCACCTTTTATTTTCTAGTTATTCAGGGTGTACTCGAAGTGCTTCCTTTTTCGCTAATAAAATGTATTTATTTTTTAATTAATGAAAATTATTGTGAAATTATTTTGTCTATTTTTGCCTATATTCTGTTGCCCTTTGCGAAGGTGTGATTTGAAGTGTTATTTTGTTAAAGGACAATCTTTGGGCATTGAACACAATAAATCTGATCTGTACAATATTAGTGATGATAATATGTGAAGCTTGCCACCAGAGGGCGCTATCTGAAAGTTTCTGTTGTAGTTTGAGTTTCCGATATAGTAAAATCATCCCAACATTTGATATTGTTGAACTTGTAAGCTTGTCAACGCACATAAATGATTAAGGCTCAATCCTAGTTTTAAACCTTCAATTATACGGTACCTTGCGTAAACAGTTGAATGACTATAGGCGTTAAAATGTGTATATTTGGTGGGGGGGGGGGGTTATTCACCAAGGACCGTTTTACAAGGGATGACTGGTGACCTACAATATTCTATTTTGCTTATGTTAGACTAGACTATAATAGAAGTTGGCAAACGTGCTGTACAATGTCACCGTTAATGGCTTGCGTATTTCAGCTATATTCAGAAGATTCTCGACGCACTACGCAAAACTATTAGAAAAAAGGGCTGATTTTCAACATCTGCACACCGATAAAAACTCTGTCAAAACATCTTGTTATAAACTTGTCATGTATCTTTAAATTTCTGTGCGAAAATTTGCTGAATTTTTTTATCAGTGCTAGAGTTGGACAACTTTTCCGATGAAAAATATCAGAAAAGAAGTACCGGTAATCACTTATCTTGGAAGCGTCCACATGCAGAATTTCCGGTGCCTACAAGTGTGAAATGACCTTTGTGATCCATGGTATTATGTAGTCAGCCATCTTGATTCTCAAGCAAAGGACTATGGGTAAAGTATGACATAGAAATTGAGAAAATGATTGAAAAGTGATGTAAAAAATACTGTAAAATGACTAATT